AGCTAATTAAGTGAAGAGACAAAATAATCGTGCGGGGTAACTGCTGGTTTCATGGCTTGCTGCCCAAGAGATAATCCACTGTACTTTCGTGATAGACAAATAAGTCATCAAACCAATTAGCTTTATTTATTTTTTTGTTAAAATTTTTTTTCATGTTTATTTATTTTTGACAGAGATAGAGAGACAGAGAGAGACAGAATGTGAGCAGGGGAGGGGCAGAGAGAGAGGGAGACCCAGAATCCGAAGCAGGCTCCAGGCTCTGAGCTGTCAGCACAGAGCCTCACGAGGGGCTCGAACTCACAAACTGAGAGATCATGACCTGAGCCAAAGTCAGATGCTCAGCTGACTGAGCCACCCAGGCACCCCAAGCCACCCAGGAGCCCCCGATTTGCTTTTTTTAAAGGACCAAACTTCAGGACATATGGGATTGATTTCCAGTGTCTGCAGTTAATATATACTGAATCACATAAAAGCAATTATGGCTGAAAATGTTGTGTATTTTATTCTAAGTCTTTGATAATTAGTTACCTACCTTTGGCACCTAAATTAACTCCTATTTATCAAGAATTGTCCTTAACTGGAATACTTCAACTTGTTTTTCTAGGATAATACTTCAGTATTTTTATGTACAGTATTTAATAATCATGGAGTTTGTTATTTTTGACAGTGCTACCCTAATGTCACCTTTGACGCAATATAGGCCCTTTACTGACATGAGGTTTATACTGAGGTAGAAAAATATCAAGAAGAAACATGCTAGGGGCACCCGGGTGGATCATTTGGTTAAGCGTCCGACTTCGGCTCAGGTCATGATCTCACAGTTCGTGAGTTTCAAGCCCCACATCGGGCTCTGCGCTGACAGCTCAGAGCCTGGAGCCCGCTTCGGATCCTGTGTCTCCCTCTTCCTCTCTGCCCCTCCCCTGCTTGCATGTGCTCGCTCTCTCTCTCTCTCTCTCTCTCTCTCTCTCTCTCTCTCATAAATAAACAAACAACATTTTAAAAAGAAGAAACAGGCTAGTTAACACCTTATGTAAAAGGCAGTTTGTAATGTGAATATTTGTAATGCTCAATTTTCCACCAAAGGAGTGAATGTTTGTTTGAAGGTGCATAAAAGCCAATGAAAATATTAAAAGATGTAGTGAAGATTTGCAGTATGCATATGTATGAAACATATTAGCAAAATATATACCAATATAATAATATTCATACTATTAAAGTTAATATTAATTATACACTTTTAAGTATAGTAATTGCCTTAAAATGCAGTAGTTCTTGACTGTAGACCATTCTTGACCAGAGACTGATGAGAGCAAGTCAACCAGAAGTCTGTCTAGACATTAGCTGACGATATAAAGCCACAAGAGGCTGATATATTGTGAGCAGACTGAGATGTAACTGATAACTCACTTTTTCCTGGCGCGGTAGGTTGCTGCATATAATTACCCTTACACTTCATCAGTCCTGAGAGGAAGGCTGGACACACCATAGAAAATTGGGGTCCGTGTTCTTAGTCAGTGTACCATCAGAACATGGGAAAGCAGTCAGCTTTGCAAATTGAGATATTAAGGCTTTTGGTTTGTTTTGTCGTTGTTTTTAAGCTTTTTTACCATTAGAATTCTGAAAAGAGTAGTTCAGAAATCATACATGATCTTTATTAGATTAGCTTACCTTCACCTGGGTTTCACATTGGGTTGTATCTTATCAAATAACTCTTAAAATTAGGAGTCCTGGGGAGCCTGGGTGGCTCAGTCGGTTAACAGTCCGACTTCAGCTCAGGTCATGATCTCATGGTTCTTGAGTTCAAGGCCCGCATTGGGCTCTGTGCTGACAGCTCAGAGCCTGGAGCCTGCTTCAGATTTCTGTGTCTCCCTTTCTCTTTGCCCCTCCCCTGCTTGTGCTCTCTCTCTTTCTCTCTCAAAGATAAATGAACATTTAAAAAAAAATGAGAAGTCCTGGAACATCAGCAGACATTAAAACGCATCTTGATATTAATCATCAGTAATGTAAGAGGGGAATGGCTAATAGGCAGACACTGATTAAAGTTGCCCATTTCATATTCCCAACAAACAAACTGCTCAAAAGGAATAAGCCCTAAAAAGGTATTTACAAATCAGGGTTTCACCCCACCATCTTTAAGCATTGTTATAATGAATGAGTTTGTGATTGCATTTATAGCCTATCCGTATTTGGGAAAATGCAGGATGTTAAGGGTTGTAACCAGTGGGTATGGAGTAAAACAGCTGGGATTCTGATTGTAGCAGACACGTATTGCTTGCATCACCATCAAATGAAATGAGGCTCCATCCATCAATAGTGAGAGAACTGGGTGAGGAGAACCTACCTTATCAGAGCAAAGGAGATTGTTTCTATTACCTATTACTAATTTATTTTCTAATGTAACTAGTTGTTACAGCTCATCTGTTCTGTGTGGAATCTAAATGTTTTCGGGGAACTTTATGTGCTCTTAATGGGATTCCCCCCACCTCCCCAAGACCGGTAAGAACGTTTTGTCCTTCCTTCGCACCTGGTTTTGGTGTAGCAAATACAGAAATGATGGTCCCTCTTTAGAGTTCCTGGTCCGTTAAAAGGGTGGGGTGGGGGTGGGTAGAGGGCAAAGTAAAATCGAGCACTGCAACGTAACATGTGCTGTCAGTTATGACGGTACCTGTAAGGTCTTCCTGGCATGCAGAAGATGGTTCTCTGTGGGGAACATAAGCGGAAGGAAGCCCAGTATGTGGGCATGCACCAAGATGTTGCTGATACCAACCATGGAATAATGTCTTTTGTTATTTCAGCCGTGTAACTGTACAGATAGTGGATCTAAGAAAGGGATTTCCATCCGTGCCTCCAAGTTTTTTGTTGTTGTTTTTGTTTGCCTTTTTCATTTAAAGGGGGAAAAAGGTATTCAGACCCATGGATTTCTCAAAATAGACTTCTTTTGGGTAATTCATTCATTAAAAATCAGATACTAAAGTCATCCTTAATTTTACATCCCTTTTATTCAGTCTGCATTGAACGATGCAGGTTTAACTACAACAGAGAGTGGAACATCTAAGTTTTCAGGGAGAGCCCTTCAGTGAAAGCTTTGGGATAAAGCATTTTTAACTTCCAAGCAATCAAGCCAACTCTGTGAATGAGTATTAACCAGAACTCGCATATATGGAAGGGAGAGTTGTCCTCTCCACTATGGAGGAAGCATAGAGAAAACAGGGGAAAGGGAACAGTATGAAAAATAAAAAACGAATAGACAGGAAATAGCACAAGGAAGAAACCTTTGTAAAAAAGAGTGAGGCACCCGTGTAAGACACAAAAACCTTGTAAGAGGAAAAATTCAGTTTCCAAATCTCAGCTCTCTCCTTGTATTAAATGCTATTTTTTCCTCTATTACTTGACATTGGTTTTCTTCTCCAGAGTTAAGACCACCTGGTTATGTGACCAAACACATTTGGGTGTTTGTGCTTAATTATTATTCGGTCTATGACACAAATTTTTATGTATCCACATCCTCAAGGCTTAAAAATAAACTAGGTAATAGCTCTAAACAAAATGTGGTAAGCCCCACCTTCCTAGTGATTTTTTTTTTAATTTTTTTTTTTTTAACGTTCATTTATTTTTGAGACAGAGAGAGACACAGCATGAACAGGGGAGGGGCAGAGAGAGAGGGAGACACAGAATCGGAAACAGGCTCCAGGCTCTGAGCCATCAGCCCAGAGCCCGATGCGGGGCTCGAACTCAGGGACCGCGAGATCGTGACCTGAGCTGAAGTCGGATGCCCAACCGACTGAGCCACCCAGGCGCCCCCCTAGTGATTTTTAAATATCTCTCCTGGATATGTGTACTGGACTAAATAGCTTTGTTACTTTTAAAAACTAAAAAGTGAGTTAATAACTAGCTGAGCACAGAATTCAGGCTATATCACAATTATTCCAATAACACGGGGATAGATAAGTAGATCTGTAAGTAAGGAAACTAAAAGGCATGTTAAACATTGGAGAGACTAAGATTGTGAAGTCCCCATCCTGGCTGACCACATGGATGCCATCTGTATATGGAAGCTAGTCACCAGGAAACTGAGAACTTGACTGCACGAAGCTCTCTATTTATGAGAAGTCCAATGGATGTGTACAACTCACCCAGATCATGTCCCTAGACACTGATTTTTAGAAAGGATGGGAGAGGATTACTTAGATTCATATTCAGAGCTTGAAAACTAGGGAGAAACGGGAAGGTACTGAGAGATACGGAGTCTAATCGGAGCCGACTTTGGTAACCGGGCTGATCCCAGAACTGTCCCAGCAAAGTCATCAGGCCCCAGGCCAGGCCACAATATTGCTCATCTCGGGTTAGATGATGCAACGCCACACCAGGTACATTCCTGGATTTTTCAGGTAGCATAGCTTTAGGAAAAAAACAATTCTAATACCTCAAGTTGAGACATACCCTGTTAACACTAACATTTTGAAATACTCCAAAACACTCACAATGTTTAACAGCATTCTTACTGACCCAAAATAGGATTTTGTATTTTAAACGGCTTACCAAAAAATGTATCTTCTAATTTTGAGGTAAACTTCTTTATTTTCTTACACAACCAAGAATCTTAAACTATCTTAGTACATTACCAGCTTAACAAGTCATATTTTAGTATTATGTGCAGTTGTCACATTGTTTTACTCAATATTTTAAAAATGTAGTTAACATACTGTAGACACTTAATATTGCTTATTCTTTGTAATCGTATTTGGTATAATATAACCATGTCCAGAGTTATTTTTGTATATTTACAGTGAATAAAAGTGAACAGACCCACTCCCCCCAACCCCCACCCCCATTAAAATAAAAAGGAAAACAGAAAAATACAAAGACAACAAGATGAAATAAGGTTCTGGGAGGGAAACCCTAATCATTCAAGTGTGGGGATGCAGCGGTCAGCTTTTTGCACCCATTCTCCATGCTACACAAAAACTTTGAGAATACTGCCAAACACTGTCTAAGACCTTTCAAGAAGCTCCAGTAGATTTCTGAATTTGTTCCTTTAAAATCAGGATGCTCTGCCTTTGCTCAGGAGGCAGCATGGCGATCTGATCTGCAGTCAGCTGGAGAACCTGCATGATCAGAGCTGCCTTCTCTTGATCCTGCGGAGTTACCTGGCTCTGCCCAGGGCTAAAACTGCTCGGCTGGCCTCCACCTTGCTTACCTGCCCCCTGCATGCCCACTCCTTGTATGCCCGCCCCCTGCATGCCTGCTCCTTGTATGCCCGCCCCCTGCATGCCTGTTCCTTGTATGCCCGCCCCCTGCATGCCCGTTCCTTGTATGCCTGCCCCCTGCATGCCCGCTCCAGGATTTCCCACCCCTGAAATGCTCGAGACCTGTCTGGGTCCCTGAGGACCACCTGCCCCCATATTAATAGGACCAGGACCCTGGATTCCCCCAGTCATAGGGCCTCTGGAGCTGGGGCCAGGGCCCCTTAGCTCCATTCCTCTTCCATCCATGCCTCTCGCTTCCATCCCTCTGGTTTCCATTGCACAGGTCTCCATTCCTCTTCTCTCCATTACTCGGGTCTCCAAGACTTCCGTCTCCATGGCTCGAGTCTCCATCCCTCGAGAATCTCTACTTCCTCTACCATCCATTGGGAGACCCCTTTGATCTATCATGGGTCCTCTGGGCTCTCCAATTAGCAGTCTGGGATCTGCTAATGGCCCTCCCCTCATCTCATGGGAGGAAGGGCCCCTGCCGTCGTGACCAGAGGCGTGGTGCATGGGGGGGCCCTGATGAGGTGGGCCAAGATAGCCTCTGGGCTCTACCTCCCCAGTGACTGAAAGCAAAGTCCCTCCACGGGGGTCGTTTGGAGCATCTCCTAACAGCCCTCGAGGAGGCAGGCCACCGGCAGTCATGGGTCCACGAGGTAGAGGAGCTCGGGGATCCGACATCTGCACCTGTCCCCGCTCTAAAGGCACTGGGCCGACGCCCGGCATCCCAACCTGGGGCTGCATTCCTCCCCCAGGAGTTAGGGAACCAGGCCCGGGTCCAGGAACCGCAGCTGGCATCGGCCCCGGGGCTGGGATCCCGCCCTGGATAGGGGTCTGCATCAGAGGAGGAATGTCTTTCACTGGCCGTCTGGCCATATGCTGCGGCTGAGGGGCTGGCGGGTTCTGCTGGTTCAGCAGGACACTGGGTCCCGGGCACAGCCCCGGGCCGGGGCCGGGGCCGGGTCCGGACACGGGCTGAGATTTGCCCGGGATGAGCGGGGTGACGTGGATCTTGCGGTGCAGGATTTTCAGAGCAATCTCCGGGTCCATTATTCTCATCACCACCTGGGCCTGCAGCAGCGCATAGGCCAGCTGGGGGTTCTGAAGCAGCATATTTCGCGCTTCCTGGTGGCTGTTCTGCACGCACAGCTTCATCTGCTTCATGAGCTCGAACATCTGCTCGGGGGGCAGACTGGCGACCGCCCTGGTGATGGACTCGGGGGCGTCTTCCGGGTCGATGGGGTCCCCGTAGGGCGAGTCGATGATGGGCGCCGCGGGCCCCAGGCTCTTGAGCTCCTCCTTGTTCTTCTCGCTGGCCGCGTTGTCCACCCGCAGCGCCCGGCCGCTGAACTCGCGCCCGTTGAGGTTGCGCATGGCGCTCAGCGCGGTCTCCTGGTCCTGGTACTCGCAGAAGCCATAGCCCTTGGGCTTGCCCGTCTCCCGGTCGTACACCAGCCGGAAACTGACCACAGAACCGACCTCCGAGAAAATGTCCTTCAGCTGCTCCTCGGTTGCCTCATACGGAATGTTCCCCACGAACACGGAACGCAGTGACCGATCCATCGCCGGGTCTCTCACCGCTAAACTCGACATGATTCCGGTTGGGCGCCCAGCGGAGAGCCGATTCTTTCCAAGAGCCGTCCTCTGGCGACCCACGCTTCCGCTGGGCACCGGAAGCGGCTCTCGGACTCCGGGGCGGAACCCTCCGCGGGCCCGATCGAATCGTTCCGCTAAAGCCGCGGACGCCGCACCGCCTCTATGCTCCCCTACCTACATTAGCTAATGCTTTGTGCCTCTGGTCTTTCGTGATTCTGCCAGTTCCTTATTTCCGAGAGGGACGATTCCCTTCTCGTGTCTCATCGTGAAGACTTCCCGCGGCCGGTGCAGGCTGACCATAGTCAAGATGGCCGCTCGGGCTTCACCATGGTAACCGGGAGCGGCCACCTCCCGTGACGTCAGGGGCGGTTTTGCTTCCGTTTGCCCGGCGGGAAACCGCCAACCGTAAACGGGTCTGGGCGGCGGCTTCTCTGTTCTGTGTTAGCGTGGCAGGTAGCTGACCCTCCTTCCTCCGCTTTATTTAAGCCCTGTTTAAAACCCTACCCGGGACTGCGGGGTAACAGCGTAGGCGTTTCCGAGCAGTTGGGGATTTGCTCCTTGAACGACAACAGCCACAGCCCCGTTTTGGAAAACATTTGGGGAGAATAGCTGCCGAGGCCCCGCTGTCGCGGGGGCAGGGGCTTCCAGGCGCCTCTGCGGCCGCGGGCGGCGACCCTGCGTGGGCCGCCCTCTTCCTTAGCGGTGTTAACCCACACGAACAGGCGTGATTCGTGAGCCAGCGCGGCTCGGGGCTGCAGAGCGCAAATGAGTCATTTCAGCCCCTCTCCCGCTGCAGGCTTTCGGATCGCTTCCGATTGCTGCAGACGGCTGGCGACGATTGCACCCCCTCCCCGGTGCAGGGCGCGGCCGAGTGGCCGTCCCTGCTGCCGCTGTGCCTGCGGCGTTTAACAGGTGTTAGGCGTGGAGCTTGGGCCGGGCTAGGCCGTTTGCTAAGCGGTCGGGAAAGAGCAAAGCTGGAATGTCCTTGTCTTTTTTAAAGTAATGTCTACAGCCAGCGTGGGGCTCCAACTGGAGCTCAAGGGGCGGGGAGTGTCGGCTCTCCTGACCAAGCCAGCCAGGCCCCCCTAAAAGCCACAGCATTCTTAACCAGGTTGGTCTGTCCTAGTTCCTGTGCGGCATCCCTTGTAGCAAGGAGGCACCTCCCAGGAGATGTACAGTTTTTTTTCTTTATGGAAGGAGGGTGGGGCAAGAAAGCTGATGCCAAAGAAAGGTATTGTTCCAGACAAGGCTGTATCCTAGGGTCTCCTGGTGCAGATGGCCTCATCTCTCTTTGGCGGAGGGAGAGGACCCAGGGGACAGACTCCCTGGTGCTGACGGGAAGGAAAATTTCCTGGCTGACCCAGTTTCCTAGGGCTGCCTTCTTGGGGAGGCTGAAATTGCAATTAGATTATTACCCGGGTTTGGAAAGTCGGTCTAAGAGACACCATTTTAAGCCTGTGGTTCCCCCCCCCCTTTTTTTAAATACAGTTTTACTTATTTTATATTTAAATATAAAAACTGATATCCAGTTAGGCTGTTGAAAACTTTTTAGTATGTGTGCAACAACTTGGGTGTGAAATCTACCTTTGCAATGACATTTTATTAGGTGTAAACATCAGGTATTTCTAGTTAAAATTTGGCATTCTCATGGAGATGGCCTGTATGTGCTTGAACATAGCTATTCACTAAACACATGATAACTCGTATCTGCAAGTGACCAAGTGTATTTATATCACTCAATAAAATCTTGCTGATGATGTCACGCTGGGTCCAAGGACCCAGAGGGCGTTCCCAAGACCAGCCAAGAGGGTCCTTGGCTTCATATAGGATGGAAATCAAACATGAACCAGCAGGAGGTGAGCGCAGAGGTTACCGGAGGTACAGAGAAAGCAGTTACAGACGGAGCCCCTGGGAGACTCAGGAAGGAGCAGGGGTCTCGTCTTTGTTTGGGGTGTGGCATCCAGGAACTGGTCAGAACAAAGGCGAGGGCCCGCGTGTTACTCCTCGGAGCCAGGGTCCCCGTGTGGGGACGTCCGGCTCCGTGGTCTGGAATTGCCCTGTGATGGCTTCTCTCCTGGTCCTTCCTGGGACGTTTTCTGTTGTAGAGCAGTCATTGACTCCGTGTCCGTTACAGGGAGGACACACACTGTTCGCACCGTGCGGTGTGTGTGATGTGGGGGTGCCGGTCCTGGCAGGAACGCAAGCAGGAAAAGGAGCAAACAGCAGATTTGTATGGAGTCTTTCAGTTTCTCTGCCTCCCTCACTCCTCGCCAAAGAAACAGAACAGCCACCTGCTAGTAATGGTTGGTTTTTCCCTGTGATTCTTTTATAGGAGGTGAAGCAGGGTTGGGGCGGAGAAGTGTGTGTGTATTACATGTAGTAATCAGGATGGTAAGAGGTTGTTAGAATAAATTGTCAAGTTTATGAGCGTTGCATGGCTCGTCCGCCGGTTTCCTTACTGCTGTTGACAGTGTCTTAAGGGCTCTTACCCCATAGCATGCATCAGAACCACCTGGACCCATGGCCCGTTAAGTCAGGTGGCTGGGCCTCACCACCTCCTCTGAACATACTCCGTGTTTCTGGGGTGGGACTGGAGAGGTTGCATTTCTAACTGGTTCTCAGCTTCTGCTGAGGTCCCTGGTGTTGGGAGCCCCTTTTAAGAATCGTTGATCTGAACAACTGGACTTGAGGTGCTTTTGTTGCTCATCGGGTACCTCTCTGTATGAGATACGGGAGGTCTTTCAAAAAAGCCTATTACTGTGTGAATGCTGACCTGGCATAGCTAGTACATGTTGATCCCACAGCAAAGATACCCTGGGCTCAAACAATGGGGGAGCAGAGTGGCTGAGGGAGTCTGGGGACAAACGAGCAGGGAGAAGCCATGACTGTAAGTGTATGCTTTCTGTCGTAGGTCTTCCACATTGTCCTTAGTCTTTTTGTTCCAAGCTAGAAGAATGGTTCGATATATCCCCTTCATAAAGGACCAGTATGATCGAGCACAATGCCCAGGACGCATAAACCAACATTTATTATTAGCTGAGTGGCCCAGAATTACTAACAGCTGTTAGAAACCTGTGGATATTTCCTGGTACATATACATGGTTTTCACAGATGTACTTTGGAAGAACTACCATTTTATACTGCTTTCTTTGTTCCCATAATGCTTAAACGTTAGATATTTATAGCATGGCATATACTCCGAAGAAAAAAATGTGCCTGGTATCTTGCATGGTTAAGTGTTGATTCTTTCAGTAAATCAAAATACCATGTATATTAAGAGTAACGCTTAAACAAACACATCAGAACATATGGACAAATGGGGGTGTTCTTCAAACTAATCACCTTTAGAAACGATAAACTTAATCCATGGAGGTTTCCATTGTTCCAAGTGACTTTTAAGCTCCTATCCTGAAATTGTTTCAGGGCTCCATTTCTAGGTCATACTGGAAAGCTGATACCTTAACTCAAAAGTGTACCTTGTTTTTGACAAAGGACAGAGTTATGCAACTAAATCAACTCTCCTTCGGACCAGAGTTGGCAAAAATGTGGTATGTAGCTATTTCCAAATAGCAAAACTTACATCACAATGCGAAGATTCTGCAGACTTGGAGAGTAGTACAAAGGATTCACCATAGATTAAGACAGATTCCAAAGAGAGTTACTAAAATATATATTTTTTAATTATAACTGGCGTTTTTGAAACAAGTGTATGGGCCGGCCCTCCAAGGAATAATAGATCAAATATATTCCTCCACAAAGTCCTTCCTGACCTTCCTCCTCCTTCCTCTAGGTTGGAAATGAGTTCATTTGCCTTTGCATATAAACCATTCCTTATCCCTTTCTGATGATAGTAACTCTTCTGCCTGTTAGTAGAATTATTATTTTCCTTCTAAACTATAACATCGTGCAAGGAAAGAGCTAGATTCCCCTTTACAGAAATCTGGGTTTTAGTAAGCTCCCCCAGGTGATTCTGATGCAAGCTAAAGTTTGAGAACCACCGAACTCAAGGGAGACCATCATAGATAGACACATACATACATACATACATACATACATACATACATACATACATACATAAAGAGGTATGTACATTGTCCTTCTTCACTGTATCTTCAGCACCTAAGATAGAGCTTAGCATAGGTGGGTGGTCATTTTATTTGTTGAATAAATAATGGGAAGTGACCTTAGGCACAACCTTTCATTTTACACAAGAGGAAACCCATGGCATTAACCATGTCCCCAGCCGGAATGGGGACCTTGTTGTTTTATTCTTAGGTCCCCAGTCCTTACTGTTTGATAAAACAGATACATAATGAAGCATGCAGAGGAATCGATAAGGTCTAGATCATCGAGGGAGATTCTCTGATGGAGCTGGGGTTTAAGGGACGGGTTATGATCGGGTATGTGTACACAGAAGATGAAGGGAAGAGAGCCAAAGCATGAACAGATAGAAATAGTCAAAACACTTTTCGAAGCCTTCACAGGAAACTAAAACATAGTTGGTAGTATTGTGATAAAAGATGGTCTTTGGGACAGACTGTTAAAAGATTTCGAAGATGAGATTTATGAGGCTAAACTAGATGGGTGTGTGAGTCTGTGGGCTTTCTTCCTTCTTTCTGAAACACGGACACGTAACAGTAACAGTAGAGGTTTAAGAACACCAGTCGCGTCCATTCCTTCTTCACGAGCTCTTTTGCACCCAGACTCTGATTTTGAACATTTATATTTTATTTAAATATTTATTTCTTTTGAGAGGGAGCGAGGGCATGCACGTGCCCTCCAGCAGGGTGGGACAGAGAGAGAGAGAGAGAGGGAAAGAGAGGATCCCAAGCAGGCTCCGCGCTGTCAGCACAGAACCTGACTCAGGGCTTGATCCCACGAACCGTGAGATCATGACCTGAGCTGAAATCAAACTGACAGAGCCACCCAGGCACCCCTAAAATTTTTATTTTTAATCAAAGTATAGTAGGCATTTAATATTAGTTGCACATGTACAA